TCCTCACTGTGCCTGGTTGGAGACACTACAAGATATGGCTGCCAACCGATGTCAGTGGCGTTCTTGTTGTCAGTTTCTGTCCAGATTGCCTGAGTGAATGTCTGGAGGTGTAGGCACCTCGGAATGATTGTGTTAAGCTAGCACTAAGTCCCTCCCCCATCCACCTTTATTCTTTTCTTTATAATAAGGCTTTCAAATAAATCATAGCTGTACGGCAGTGAAGCATTGGTGTTGAGCACTGATGTCATGCTGTCGTTGATGATGTTGATGATGATGATTGTTATTCGCGGTCGCAACTGTGGCAACTGGTACGGGACACTCCGGTCTTAAAAGTGGTGTGGCACCGGGTTGGGGCTTGAGGCTTGGCTTGGTTTTCATACGGCATCTTAGGCCATCTTGGGAGACATCGTCAAATTTTGTCTTAATTGTTATTGAAGTATTATGCAGTGTCTGAGTAGACTGAAGATTTCAAAACACTGCACACAGGTGATAAAGGTACATTGAAAAGATAAAGTTTCTCAATCCAGTCAAGTCTAAGAATGTTCAAATTAGGACAGTGAAGAAACACGTTCCTGAGAAATACAAATTGTTGAAGAGTACATTACATACTTTTTTGTCTTTCAGTAGTAGGTATCAGCAGATACACTTTGGGCCCGATGGGCGAAATGGCTCAGTGGTTGGAGCGCGAATTTACTGACCGGAAAGCCCGTGGTTTGAGCCTGACCTCCGTATCTCGACTGCCCATGTCTAGGCTTGGATAACCTGACAGTATCCCATCTTCCTTCCGGTGGCATGACAGTTAGGCACAGAAAAGAAGCTATAGCTGAACAATATTTTGGGCCCGAATGGCACAACAGGTTTTCCTACCAACTCCCAACTGGGATGTGAGGTCAACATACTATCTGAAGCTTTGTCAAGCTGCAGATGGATTGAAATTTTGTTGATGACTCAAATTCAACTTGAAATGTCGCACACACAAAGCTGGGCTGCGGACATTTCTTGTTTGACTACTTTTTGACTGAAATGTTGACCCTCTTTTGGGTGCGTTAGAGACTTTCTTCCCCACTGATGACACGTTTGGCGCTGGTGCTTTTTGAATGGACAAAAATGTGCATAGTGTCACTCACCACAGGACCAACACGATCTAACAGTGGTTCTTTCTAATGCTATGACGGCACTAGAATTAGTAGGTCGTGACGTATGCTGAGCAAATACGGTATCGTGTTTACGCAAACACTGGCGTTCGGTGGTGAATACTTTCTCAGTAACGTCCTCATGCTTAACCTTTGGAAGTAATTGTGCGCGAATATTTGAAGACTGTGTAGGTGACTGCAAATATAATTTCTCACCCGGTTGACGCAATCGACCACATCGCGATAGGTCAAATGGAGGCAATCGTGTGAAGTTTAAATCCTTTGGCTATTTGGGGGGAATAAAGTTCGTGAACCGGTCGTGTTCAAGGGTTCCAAGTTTTCGGCCTAAGAGGCGGGATTTCCACGTATAATCTTTGTCGGTAAACTCATTTTGGAAATTATCTTTCCAAAGGCTGTACCATGCATGAATTGAACGTGAGGCCAGGTGCGGGTTTGTAGAAAAATTTGGTAACAGATACTGCGATTAAGTCGGAAAAGGACAATAAAATGCTACTTTGAGATGAACCTGATGTCTGAAGAGTAGTAGCTTGAGTAAGAGATTGTTCGAACTGAGTTTGTTTCTGTTGGAGAATTTCTTTCAAATCCCCAGTCGAAACTGACATGTTTGTGTTTATATTGGGTTCACGTCGCCAGTTATTATGGTCTCTATACAGTCGTTTAGCTATAACACCCTTTCAGAGCCTGACTGCCATGCCACCAGAAGGAAGTATGAGAGCTTGGATACTGTCAGGTTGCCCAAGCCTAAACGCGGGAAGTTGAGGTTGGTTTCGAACCACGGACCTTCCGGTCAGTAAATTCTTGCTCTAACCACTGAGCCATCTCGCCACACTGACCCTGATGGCCTTGAAGCGCAGGTCTCGGAGTGATGCCAAGCGAGATTTCAGTCTTTTGTTCTGTTTTTTTTTCACGGCGTCAGTTTACTTTCCGCAGTGGATTTGACGCTAGATTTAGAAAGAAAAGCATATCAGCGAACGTCCTCGTATGCCAGGAGCTGCCTTTAAAATAAAAACATGATCCGATCACTGGAAGGATAGGGCCAGTGGTTTTTCATACTGTGAATTTTCACTTATCTGGAAGTCCTTCGCAAATTGTTTTATTAGAACAATGGCCATTGTAACAAGAGTTGCTTTAGGAGAGCAGCGCTGTACAACCAAATTATCGCCGTCGGTACGGTTCATAATACTCATCCCTCACAAGAAACCGCTGGAGGTTGTTTCTTTGGGATTGCCTACTTCATAGGTTAAGGGACGAACATGGTTGTTTTGTCGATTCCGCGAACTAATCTATGTATCCGCCTCACGCGATATTGGTAATTGGATTTCTTTGCTTCTGTTCAACGCTCTTTACTCATTGGACAGTGGCCAATCTTGTTTTGCATCATGGGTTCACTTCTGCGTGGTATACTTTTACGTTCATATCTTATTCCTTATTTTGTTTTCAACTGAAACTAGTTTAATAAGGTGTGTATTGATTTGTGTTCCGTGGAGCGTGACATTTGAACAGTTTGATGTACGCACTATCCTACTCTTCTGACCCAAAATGTTACGTTGTTGTGGCGGTTGGGCTTCTGTGCTGCAATGATCATGGAACTAAGTAACCAAAGGTTCAACCATGCCAGGAAGGCCGACGGGGACCAGCCCGACGAAGAACAGCGAGTCCCCGTACTGCGAGTAATCGTATTACGAGACGGTCTGGAGGTAAAGTCCTCTCTCTTCGATAAGAGTGTGAAAACAGCAATGCGTTTCCTCCAGGCGACCAGCATGGAAGCAGCGATGCTGCCTTCCATCGAGGAAGGACGGGTTAAGAAAGGTCGGCCCTCCACACCGATCGCCCAACGGTTGACCGTGATCGTCGACGCATTCAATACGATGGAAATTCTCTTAAAACCAAAGAGCCAGTGCTGCTCAAAAGGCACCTACTGTGCGCAGCCGCATCAGGAGTCAGACAGTATTGCCATACTCCCTGCGCCCTCAGGCCAGACCGGCCCCCTACAGCCAAGTGGGTCAAACTGTTGAGTCATTGGCATCGGAAAAGGTCCCTCCAAAAAAAACCCTAGCACTCACTGTCTCGCGGTCCAGACTCTTGAGTCAGAGGCTAGGGGCAGGGTCCTCGAACAAAATCCTGTATCCTCTCACTGCCTCGTGGGTCAAGCTTTTGAGTCAAAGGCTCACGGTGGGGTACCTCAACTAAACCTCCTTCGGTTTAGGCAACCGAGAAGTATCATTTGCCCTCGCAGCTCTTCGCTCATCGGTCTTTCCCATCATTCCCTTCCAACCCATTGTGCAATGCAGTGCAATCAACCCATCTTCCAACCTCCTAGCCACTGTTTCGTGTCTCAACCATCGCCCAGAAAAATAATGCAAAATGTTTACCTACTAACCTCAAAAGATCTGATCCATGTTTCAGGCTTCAATGTCTGTACTCTGTGTCAAATTGGGCTACAGACATCCCTTGCTGAAACCTTACTTTCCCTCCCTATCGATGTATGTTTTGTCTTTGAAGCACGCATACAAGACCCCACTTTGGTGGGGCTCCTCAAGCCGTTTAGGACGATCCCAGATGTTCCACATTTCACTCTTCTGGCATCCGGTGATCCTGATGTAGTCGATCGTGGTATCTACGGTGTGGTAGTCGCCCTCAGCCTTGAGGCTGAAAACGTCTTACTGGACTGGATCCCAGTAAGCAGTCGCCTTTGCGCTGTGCGGTTGTCCGACCCGATTAAGATTAACGTCGGTTAGTGCGGTAAGTGGGTTTTAGTTTGTTGTAACAGCATACGCCCCAACAGGTAGCAGTTCTGAGACTGAGAAGGACGAGTTTTATCAAAATCTGTCACGACTGCTTCGGTCGGCAAGAAGGATGGATATATTAATCCTGGTGGGTGATATGAATGCCCAAGTTGGACGACTAATTTCGGAAGAAGCACAGTTAGATGATCCATTTGGAGTCGATGCTGAGCGTACGGATAATGGAAAGCGGCTTCTACAGTTGTGTGCAGATCGTCGTCTGCTCCTGGCCAGTACGAACTCCCATACAAACGCACACATCAGGTTACTTGGAGGCCACCTACCACAAGACAGTCGTGGACTCATTTGGATTATGTGGCTATCAGTTACCAATGGAAAGCTTCAGTTAAGGATTGTTTTTCCTTCTGGGGGTACGCAGCTTGATGTCGTTGTGCGAGCGTAGTTATCAGTTCGCTTTCCGTGAACACTAAGCGTGTCAAAGCAGAGCAGGTCCATTCATTAACTTCGAAAAGTTTCAGTAGCTGAAGAGTATCGAGCTGATCTGTCTAGAAAGCTACTGAAAACGAACAATCATGCGACTGACGAAGATCGCTTAGAAGTTGAATGGAGGCGCGTTAAAGAAGCTAATCTCGCAACTTTCAGAACCTTTTGTTCAAGTCATGTAGCTCGACTAAATGAACACTTGACATAATCCAGAAGGACTACACCAGCAACTAGTGGTTATGATGGCGCACACAGATCCCTCAAATACCCTATAATCAGGAGCTTGAAGAATGGTAGAGAACGCTGATGGATTTCGAAGACCCAGGGTGTGGAGAAAGCTTTCACTGCAGGCAATAGCTGCGCCCTGTCTCAATTGATTCGAGCAACGAATCAAAAAGGACTGGTGTCAGTGAGTCAATACGTGAGAAAGACGAAACAGCAATCCACTCTCTCAGTCACCATCTTGAGCGATGGGCTGAGAACTTCCAAGAACAGGTCACCTGGTCTCCTTCAACACAAGTTCTGGAAGAACCAAGCGATCCCGTACGGAACCAACCCAGCATGAGCAACCAAAATCTAGCGTGAGATTTCAATCCTGAGGCGCGACAAGGCACCTGTCCCGGATTGTCTACACTCCGCGCTCGTCAAGGAAGGTGGCGAAGTCATGATGAACAGTCTGATAACCATATGGCAAAATATTTGGAACGAAAACAATGCCAGCCGAATAAAGCTCCTCGACCGTCAACCCAGTTTTCAAAAAGGGAGCAAGAACGTCATGTGAAAACCATCGGCCTGGTGCCCATCGCATGTGAGCTGCTCTCTGGCATTATTTTGCGCGGGTTGATGGACTATTGGAATAGACAGACAGCTCTGGTCGAGGATGCATCGACCGTATCTTTACCTTGAGACAAGTCCTTGAACAGCGCCACTCCTTAAGACGTCCAACTTTGGTCGTTTTTCTGGATTTGAAAGCTGCTTACGACTCTGTCGATCGTCGGAAACTTTGGCAGTGTCTGGCGATCAAACATGTCCCCACCAAATTTCTCTCCCTTATGAGGGCACTGTGTGTGAACTCCTGTGGGCACGTACGAGTATACGGGAGTCTTTTGCCTGATTTCACCACGTCCAGTGGTATACTCTCTCTCCTTTCCACTTCAACTTTGTCATTGATATGCTGCTTGAAATTTCTCTGCCTGCCTCTGAAACCTTGGGAGTCGAAATGCTCCCGGGACGTTTCCTCACAGGCATTGAGTATGCAGACGATATTGCTCTCCTTGCTTTATACCCTTCCTAAATGCAAACGATTTTAAATAACCTAACTAACTCTGCCACACGGTTTGGCATGCGCTTCACATCAGCAAAGTGTAAGGTGCTGCTACAAGATTGGGTGGGATCAAACCCACACCTCACGCTTTCAGGTGAGCCAATCGACATGATAGATCGATTTGTTTACCTGGGCAGCTGTATAAGTCATGGTGGACTGGCTGGAGATGAGCTTATTTCTCCGACACCTATGGCGCCGACGTGACGTGAGTTTGTTTGTCAAGGGAAGAGTTTACACAGTGGTGGTGCGATCCATACTGTTTTATGGATCAGAGACGTGGCCCCTACACGCAGAGGACATGTGAAAGATGTCGGTGTTTGATCATCTGTCTTCGCAGCATCGGTTAGGTCTGGTAGGAACATCGGATTAGTAATGCTGAAGTCTCAGAAAGAAGGAACTCTCGGGATAGATGAATCCCTCACTCCCCTTAGGTTGCGCTGGTTGGGACGTGTACTGTACATACCAGAAAGCCTTCTGACTCACATAGCTTTTTTCCCCAGCCCTGTGCTGGGTGGAAGCAACCGAGGGGTGGACAGTGTATGACTTGGCACCGAAGTACGAAAACACTAACCAGTAGACTTAGTCGGGTGGTCGAATGCCGCCTCTCTGGATGGGGACCCCGGGACTTAAATAACCACTGGTTAATGACATTGGCGGAAATGGCCCAATCGCGCAGTCCGTGGAGCTCGTACATCAAAGCTCTCACCTTCAGTGCGTGGGTACCCGATTTCCGAACAAAGTGAACATGCCTTCGCCTCCAAGGCTCGATATTATACTCCACTCTCCCGTTTTCCGTTGATCCAAACTGCAGCACCTGGAACCAGTGTGCCTATGACACACGTTTTATAGCTGATAAATTGAATTCACTGTCCTACTGCCCTACGGTTGCGCTCGGATCTGCAACACGTTTGTACTGTCAGAAATTACTCATAAACGAACTTGATCGTTTGACAACTTATTGGAGGCTTCACTTAAGCCTCAGCCGACCGGTCGCTAGAAGTGTGCCTGTTGACTACCGGTTCTTCTTCTGTCCTCATAACACAGTCATATGACAGGAAACTGGCACAAAATTCTTTTGTTACCCACCGTATAGAAGTCATATATGATTTTCTACCTACTTACGTCTTCAACTCAGGTCTATACCAAGTAAGAATGGATCTCACCTTGAAACGCTCTTCTTCTTAAGTACGGTACTCAGTTCAACATTTTGGTACAATTCCAATTTTTTCATACCACCGATCAACTACATTTCTTCACCATACACTGCGAGATCTTGGACTAAGTTACCGTTTCGTATCTGCTTAATTCAAGCGTATTTCCTTATACAAAGTCAATACCTGTCCTGTAAACACAGCATGTTCCAGTGTCAGGAAGCAATCTCACGACTACTCGATGTTACCAGACAGAGACAAAGTAGAATAACCTGAGACGAGCTTGAATTTCATCCAGTGGTCTATGTCGCTTTTTGTCCTCTCGCACCAGTAGGATGAATTCGTACACCTATGAAAAATCGTTCAGCTGTAACACCCTTCCGGTGCCTAGCTGCCATGCTACCCGAAGGAAGCACGTGGGCTGGGATACTGCCAAGTTGCCCACCTATAACTTCATATGAAGGCGCAACTTATGCGGGCAGTTGAATAAACAGAGATACGATGTTTCCCATGGTAAGAGTTGATCTTGAGGCACCATGTTTAGTGTCGTTTTTTCGAATCAACGGTGTGTCCTAAAGTTTCATAGGCATTGTAGTGATCAGCTCTCAGTGAATTTGGTATCCAACAGTGGAAAACGTTTCTCATTGAGGAGTTTTGTTGCGTCCACGACTCCACATTCTGTGGGCATTTCTGTCATCCTGTAGCAATGGGATCATCTATTACTGGCTGCATTGCACGTTCTTCTTTGTCTGAATTTCAGGACCTTTCACGCGTCCGCATCCGGCTGTCTGGCGTGTTGTCTTTGGTGCTAGCCTCTTCTACTTCTTTGCTCTGGTTCTAACCGTTTTCTTACGCTTGGAAGAAGCACGCCAAATCATCATATGGCTGTACCCGGAACTGAAGTATATGAAGCACTCCCACATACTGGACAAGGAATATGCGGTCAATTGCAGCCAGGTACATTGATATTTTGTGTGTGAGCTGCTTGTATGGCCCTGCGTTCGTTCGAACTATACGCGTGAGGATTGTCCATAGTCATATTATTATTATACTTGAAATTTGAATTGTCCTGTCTTACCAGAAGCAGTGCTCCCTAAGTTGTCCAAGAACATACCACCGTTATCAGTAGTAACACTAGAATCCTCTGGTCGGCCCTTTTTGGTTTACTAATCAACATCAACGTGTCAGTTGAACACGTTCATCATCGTCATCAATCATCGACAGCATGACATCAGTGTTCAACACCGATACTTCATCGCCGTACAACTATAATTTATTTGAACGCCCTATTGTAAAGAAAAAAATAAAGGTGGACGGGGAAGGGACTTAGTACTAGCTTACTACAATCATTCCGAGGTGTCTGCACCTCCAGACACTCACACTAAGACAACAAGAACGCCACTTATATCGGTTGACAGCCATATCTTTTAGTGTCTCCAACCAGGCGCAAGGGTGACCACGTGGTCCGCATCCTGGAAAGCGAGTAACCGGCAGCACCCAAGGTTTCGTAATCTCCTTCATGCTCATCTACCAAATTAAGGGTTGGCCGCCTGCCTGCTTCCGCCATTCTGAGTTGGACATGGAAAACAGCGCTCTCTTCGGCAAACGATGGTTAGGTATATGCAACACGTGCCCCAACCATCGCAGCTTTTGGTGCTGGACACATTCTTCAATGGAAGTACCCGTTGCACAACCGAAAACGCGCTTTCTAACTGCCTCATTACGTATTCGCTGACACCGACCCACGCGAGCCATGTTTCTGAGACAACGATCGTTGAACACCTGAAGATGTCTCAACTCCGCTGCTCGAATAGGCCAAGTCTCACAGTCGTACATGCGTCCGTTAAGATTCAGGGATACACCACTCTGACGCCAGAGATGTCTCAAATTAGCAAACGCGACCCAGGCATTGCAGATCCGTGCACTGACCTCATAACTCACACTACAATCAGAACTAATACAACTTCCAAAATTCGTAAAGCGCTCCACAACTACCAGTACCACTCCCTGGATCTTAACTGGCGAGTCCAGTGACTGCACGCCCACAGGCATGACCTTACACTTTGTGGGTGCAAAGTAAATACCAAAGGATGTGATGGCTTTGGTCAGTTCATCCAAAAACTTCGAAGATGAGGACAATGTCGTCTGCGTGCTCCAGATCGACAAGGCTTTCTTCACAGGCCATTCGAACACCAGGGTTTTGGAGACCTTTCAGCGTTCGTCCCTTGGTCTATCTAACGCTATTTCCAGCAACCTCACAAACCTGTTGTCGTTTCGCGACTCCTATGCTGCTCCTTGGCTTGCTGTTCCCCCAATTACGGTACATCAGAAGACACGGCAGCTTGTGATAGCCTCTAAAATTATGGTCAAATCTATTTGATGGTACAGAGAGGGCCTAGCGGAAGATGCTTGTTTCTGATTGCTTGTCTTGTCTGGTCCGTAGCCGGCCCGCTAGACAGCCTTTCGATCGACGTGATTGTTTATTTCGAGCGACCCGCCGGTAATAGTGTCTTTGAAACTGAAGACCATGTCCAGACGCACTTTGGTTCCACATCAAAACAACGCTGACACTGTCTGCTAGTCCTTCAGGGCTCAGTCTGCGATCTTTCCTACCGAATTCCTCTTCTCCTCATGAAGCAAGTGCGATGCTTTCGTCCTTACTACAGTGGGAGCTGAGTTTCACCCCCTTATTATCCACCACCCCCAGGAGGTGGCGGATTTCTCCAATCCCGATGATTTTCGTCCTTGATAGGTGTCTCCATTTCTCTCCTTTTCTCTCTGTTTCAATCTCCGCTGCTTCATAACCCACTGGACTCATCAGATGTCGTACCGTCTTAACCACTTAATAGTCAGATGATTGATGCAGACTTACTCGGAATATACACTAGTCACACCGTCATACATGCTTGTGACGGTACAGTGCTATGGCTACCACCGGAAACTATTAAACAATGAATCAGCTGACCGATGCACCTGAGGAACGCGAAGCATGTAGCAGGTTGCATTTTCAGGCCTGGTCACAACTCGTTTCCATGTTACACAGTGTTCATACCTGACATTGACTGAAGTTGACTGATTTAAATCACCTTCAAAACTTGCCAACCGGAAGGTGGCACAGTTTCTGCTAGAAAACTTACAACTTTGTGGCACTTACTGGCTTCCAGCACGCCCCTTTCAAAATCACTCTGTTGGAATGCTTGTACGAGAGGGATGCCCTGGATTCCACAGCGTTTGCTTGAGAGCTCATCTCTTACTCGTGAGTAGCATGTCATGGTACAACGGGAGTGTAGCTCCCTGCTTAGGCCCATGTGTTGGAATCTAATAAGAAGTCTAATTAATCGAGGGCAGTCACATGCTTCTCCCAACTTTTCTACGATCCTCTCAAAGGACCCGATAAGTACCAGACCTATGACGCTGGGGTTTGGGAGCTGACAAAACACGGGGTGGATTGTTTTTCAGAACAGACTACATCATGCTTCATAACGTAGGAATCTGTTCGATGTGTCCCCCTTATAGTCACTGTTTTAGGATATTAATCCCCCCAATTTAATTTGCCACATTTATCTTCTGGTCTGGTTTCACCCGCTTGTCCAATGGCACTCGGAGGGCTACTCGGGGATGGGTGGTTGGCATCAAGGGGTCACGCTAGACCTATGGGTTTACCCCGCTCATCACGCCTGTTTAATTTCCAAAACAGACTTGCAAATAACTCAGGATTGGGATTCTACTAAAGTATGTCCTAACAAGACAGCGGAAAAGCTTGTGACCGTTGTATTCTGTACGTCTCAACTTGTTAGAAGATTGAATAACCTAGAACTTTCGGTAAAGTGTTTAATTGACCTTACTGCGCTCCAACGCCGGCAGTTCCGTGTACTCAAGAGCATGGTCTGCCTACCAGTATTTTCGAGTTAACCGAGCTGAGGCCAGCTAATAGGCTGTGATTCGCAAGTCATCCTCATGACTCATTGGAGCAGTGTGGAACTTTTGAACCTCAAAGTGGCTTTTGTCAAGATCCTCTTATGTTTCTGGGCAATGTGAAAACGACTGCTAGAAAAAGCACTAACCCTAGTAAATAGATTTTCGGTCGTAATTCGACTAGTGGTAACCGACACGATCCCGTCATTATAGGGCCTTCATTGTTATGATATCACCCGTAACGTTGGTAAGAGCTCTTATATAGTCCACCACCGGCTTCATTCTCTTGGATCTAAACAAGTGAGCCGAGTCTCTGAATTTCTGTTAATCGTATTTCAGTTCTTGAACACCAAATAGTGCATGTGCCAAGCCAATCACTCATTTGCAAATCAAGATGCCAAAATTCAACTGGATCTTACGTTCATGAAATTCTTCAACTAAATGTGTTGCACAGAGACAGCCTCATGTGCAAGAATAATATCGTCCAATATGAAACCGTTCAACGAGGACTCTTGAGTACCTATTGTTGAAGCGTCCTTGTAAGAAGGCAACGCAGGTCGTCGATTTTCACGATACATCTCACATTCAGTGGCGACGTATGTGGGAACGAACTTCTCCAACACCGTATCGGTACCCACCTGCCATGGCACCCAAAGGAGCTACTGATAGGTTGCCCAAGCCTAGTCAGGAGTAGTCGAGATGCCATCGGACCCTCTGATCATTAAGTTCATCCTTTAACCACTAAGATGTCGAACGTCTCTTCCGAACTAACGCTTACCGTCCGGCACTTTGTGCTTAAAAGATTTTTCGAAGCCGGACATCAGATTAAGTCAACTGTCAACAGCTCGCGTGATAATAGAAAAATTTTCCCAGATTTAGCATAAATTTACGGCTTTGCGCTACTGTGCTAATGATCGTCCAATCAGTCTATTTAAACTTTATATATATATATATATATATATATATATATATATATATATATATATATATATATATATATATATATATATATATATATATATATATATATATATATATATATATATATATATATATCAGCTGCGATCACTAGGAGGGAACAGCGAGATCCAGTTGAAAATACTTGAACTGATGGGAGCTGACGGCGGCTGCCTAAATTTTGAAGGTTCCGTCATCGAGGTTCTCTCAGAGAGGTATCAGATTACCTGATTGCTCACCACCGGGAGTCAGTGATGACTGGCGTTCTTGTCACAACACAATCTAATTATGATTTGCGTTGTTCATCGCGATGCAATCTTTTCCAATCACCAGTTCAATCCTCTGCAAGCTGAACGGTTTATCCACATTTATAATGCTTTTAATGATACCGATCACCTCTGGTTTTCTGACAATTGTCACGAGAACATGCCAGTCTGACCATTGCAAAGCCATCGGCTCTCATGTCCTCTTCACTGGGTAGAACAAGGTAACTAATTAATTGTTGCTTTCGTGTGCCATCTTGACGAAATTTGTTGAAATCTTCGAAATCCACCGGATCCCAACTTCTAAAGAGCTCTTTATTGGACAACACGAAAGGGGACTCGTCGTAGGACCTAATGACGCCATATTTCCGGGGCAGAGTTTCCTCGTGGAATTGTCAAACATAGTGAAACAACTTATTTTGGTTAGTCGTATCATCATAGTGACGGTCCTAATTACGCCCACACGACAGTGCGCTCAGAAAAGAAGCTGCAGAGGTGCACTAACGTAGGAGCTCTAGAGTAGATGTCGTTTTTCTCTGTATTTTCACCGGAATTTCCTAGCACGTCCGTAGTTTGTCCTTACTGGTCTGCCCGCAGAGGGTTTCCGCGCATGCGTTCTAAAGAATGAAGTCGGGAAGGACATCCAGTGTTTCTCATATCTACTGTCGTTTCCGAATAGGGTACAAATTTACCCACCCATGAAGAGTCTTTCACGGCTGCCAAACAACACCAGTATCACTAACATGCTGCTGCATTGTTTACATTTGTCTGCCGTCATTCTTGAGTGAATCATCGGCTTTGACAGAAAACAAACCTTCTACCTCCAACCAACATGGTTTCTCGCCGGCTGTACGTTTGTTTTGTTCCGCCCATTGTGTGATGCTACTGTTCACTGACGTACATTTGAATTCCATGTACTGTGCCATGTTTCGTCCTGTTAGTCCGTATCAGCACTTTGAAGAACGCCTTTTCCTCGACTTTTCGAAACTTGGGGAAATTTGTTTGCTTCCCTGGTCGATTTACTCCTTGGTTTGGACTTCTCGTTGGTCGGTCAACACGTGGGCTTTCGGACCTAGCCTCCGCGCATTGTTTGCTTTCAGTAGGTTACCAAGAAAACTTCGTTACTGGTTCCTATGCTTTGCCGTCAGAGAAAATTACTCTTGAAAATTGAGGGGAAAGAAAAAGTTTACAGAAAAAGGCGTTGGTGTTATTGCAGGCACTTTGGGTCGCGTTTATTCTCACTCAAACTAGCTGGATAGAAATTGACACCACAAACAACATTATCGAGGGTTAACAGTCACGGTTTGAAGTCTTTCCAGACAAGCCTACGGAGGGTTGCAAGAGTTCCCTCCAGGAAAGCGAATCACACCAGTATCATACTACCTTTTCCTGCTTCACACCATTACATCAATTCATGCATCGTCTACCTTGCAGTTTCCGGTATTAAGATTACTGAAGGGAATGCTATTTGTTCTGAAACGGGTTGTACCCTGTCCTCAGCTATCGATAGCAGCCATCCAGTTAGGTTGCGGTTTTGTTCAAATAAGCTCATGAATTTTTCTGGAAGCTTGTCCACCCGTGAAAAAACAGGTTCGATTTGAAATTTCAGTCGTTCGGTGTGCCTCCTATTTGGAAGTGGCGAACCATCGAATCTCGGTGACATGGTTTCACACCATTTGGGCATCTGTTTCACTCCGTTTGTGGATCAAAAATCCACGTTTGATGATTATCCGACGACTGTGTTAAGTGGTTGTCATAAACTCCCATTACTTAACGGTTGCTTACGGTCCAAGCTTGTTATAGGAGTACGAGTACATTACACGGACAAGTTAAGTGTTCAATGTCACGGTGGCCTAATGGGTTGATCGAGCGTTTTCCAAGGTTCAACTATTTGCACTTAGTTTGGTTGGCCAGCTCATCTGTCGAACGCCTCTTTACGTTCCTTCAGTCATGTGACTCGCGTCTGCCTATTGGTTTGGAATCGACGCAGTTTGTTCAAAGATGAGCATGAGCCCTCCCCCCCAGCTCCAATGATCTTAGAACACATGGCATTTACCATTCTAGGTCCGGTAACCTTATTCTTCCTGGCCGTTCGTTTTGCATTTTGTGATATAGAGGGCCTGTAGGGTCGTAAAAAGTCATGGTACGCTCACGGACTGTGAGATTGAGCCTTGTGCTGTATCGTTCTTATCACCTGTTCGCTTTATCTGACTGCGTCAAGCGCACCTCATATGCAGCTGTCAAACTGGTAAGACACCGTTGCCTGAGTTTCGCTCGCCCAAGATTTATCACTCTTCATCTTTCCGCCTATCCGGTATTTACTCGTAGGTTACTTTTGAACGTGTCTATTCTCACATGGACATATTCGCCCTGGCACACTTTGCCGGCTGGGTTGTCAAGACTATCTTGCTCCGACATCGAATGATCGCATGGACGTTATCCATCAACTGGGAAATCACTGAGGTGAGTGATACATGGCTGTCTATTTGGTGTTGTTTCCTTTGTACACTATCCATGAAACACATGCACTTTGCAGGACAGTGGAATTAGTCCCCAAACATGGATTACCGATTTAAATGCCCTCTTGTTTCAGTGCTTTTTTCCTAAAAAGTAATTGGTCGTGACGTGCTGAGTGTGTTCGTGTCTCGATGTTTTCTGGTATGCTGCTGTGGTAAAGCGAAATGTTTTTCAACGTTTTCTTGCTCACCCGCGTCTCAGTAGGAGAGTTACGAAGGTGTTACGAGGAGTTTTGGCACCGTTGGTGTTGTTTGCCTTCCGTGATTAGCTTCACATGACCCTCCCTGTGCTTGACTGGGGATAATCAACGACATGGCGGATAACTTATACCAGTGGCGTTTGTGCGGTCCGTTTCTATCCAGATTATCCAAATGAGTTGGAGGCATAGGCACCTCGGATGTTTATTGTAGGCTAACCCTAAGTCCCCTTCGTCCCGTTTCTTTCTTCATTAGAAATTCCCCACGTGTCCACTCCGCTAAAAGTGATCCCAATTATTATGAAGCTAGCAGGCAATCAAGTCACTTGGCTGCCTGCTAAAGCTCATTCTTGTCTTTGTGCAGCATAGTGATTGCTTGCAGATTTACTCAACACTGGTAGTGTACTCGCGACCACCTGACCTTGTAACCTGATCACTGTAAGGCAGCTGCCAAGGTGATGGCTCTATGCTCACCATCAACCTGCATGATTCATGTGGCTGTTCGTGGCCTTACGAGACACGTACTAGACTCTTCACAGCACAATGTCATCCCTGGCATAGGAACTGAGTTTTCTCAAGGTTGTTATGCTTTTACTAGAGCTGAGTTAGCTACACTCTGTTCACTTTTCGTAGTTGTCCATGGCCTGGAAAATGTTTCACTAGCATCATGTTCTCGCAGAAGCTGTGTGGAGTGAGTTTTGCGATCCAGTCCAAGAACAGACCAAGCGTATACGTTCCGTTTAATTAGAGTTTGTAACTGGGCGATTTCCGGTACTTTGGCATAAGAAGAGCCAAAAATGGAAACGAAATAATTATAGCGCCGCCATGCTTTATCACCCTTTGATCTTTCTGACTCGGTTGTGACAGCATTGTTCCTTGACTATTTGTTACCCTGCAGGCATTCGGTTGTTGAGTTCGTTTCAGCTTGGATTGGTCGAGACAAAGTTTTAAATTACTCAAAAATCTATTCTCAAAGTGAGATTATTTCCCTCAAAAAGATGGACAGTACTGTATGGACCATTGCCATTGGATAGCGCAAAATTAAGCCTGCGGACTTCCGTTGAAGTAGGGTGGCTAAATGATCGACACAACAGATAAAAGAAGAATATGACTGAATGCATGACATTAAGTCGTATTAGAACAATGGACCAAGTTCTGAGTGCCATCCGTGTCAACCAATCCAGATGGGTTACGGTATCGGAGCCATTCACCACCACCATCATCATCTGACCATGTGGTTCGCATGTTCACAAGTATTACGAAAAGAGTGATCACGAATTTCCATCACTAAAAACAACAGCCTTAAGTAGGATGACACTTTGCCCACTTACTTGAGTATCGAACACACAATCCCATGAACAAACGCCTTGGTTACAACTTCTGTCTGGAAAATGCCTCATACTTTATGGGTCTTTCCTTAAGGTCGTTTACCGTAGTACGTGCATCGAAATACATCAGAAATGTACTGAAAAACTGCGGCCCAACATAATGGATAAAATACTGAGCACAGGTACGGTAAANNNNCTGAAACCACCACTCCAAAACACTTAGATTCACACAAACATTCACGGACAAAAACTAGCAACACGAACGTCGCTAATATCAGTTAGCAAACCTGTCCTATAATGTCTCCGGTCAAACACAGGGGGATCACGTGAACCCTATCTTGGAAAGCGGACTTTTTAATCCCTCCCACCCCCTTCCTCGTCATAGTTTATCCGCTATGTCACTGAAGAGTCATTTAACCAGTCCATCTTACCTAGGGGAAGGGTGTCATGCTTCCTTTTGCGTGATCTGAGCAATCGTCCGTTTGTTTGTCTTGTTGCTGTTTGAGCTAAACAGAGAAATGTAGTTGGGCTGCGCTATGAGAAAGCACACAGTGGTCTAGCTCAAACCGGTCGATTCAAGCGCATATTATACTTGGTGTGTCATGCATTGAAGATATGCGTTGTCCGGCCCAACAAGGTCACAACAGTCATTCACTGAATTGGATAAGGTCAACGTAAGCTTTATTGTTGATTCCAACACAAAGTACCTAGTATGCTTCGAAGAACCCTAACAATCATATACCTAGCAGTAGTTTGTGAAAAAGACTTCAGTCAGCCGGTTTTTTCACGTTTCTGTTACTCACCGCGTATAAACTTCGACTAGTTATCCGTCCAGTAGCCAGGATGGACATGTACTCCCAGTTCCAGTACGTCTATCTTAATCCGTAGACGCAGTGGGGAGAAAACATCGATAATTTTTTCGTAAGAGTAACAAGTGAGGCTGAATTGGCTACTCCGGTGCTACTACGTTTGATCCCGGGATGTGTCTCATTATATTGTCTACTCATCGACTGGGTTGATGGATCATGTGGACTTATAGTCCCGCTCCTCACTCGTTCCATGCTTCTCGACTGCAGTTGACCGTCTTATCTGGCACCAATTCCGTCGGATTTGCTGTACTCGTTTATGCGCTCTTCTATTTCCTCCCTGTTGTCAGATTGCCTTCTCTCACATTCTACCCAACTTCAACGAGTGTTGGTGGGACAGCCTGTTATTGGATGTCCTAATCTGTAATGGATTGGGAATTGAGGTAGGCATGCTCCTGTGTCGTTGGCTTGAGATACGGGATTATCGGTGGGACTCCATTCGAGATATCCGGGGCGCACGTGGCAAGCTGAAACGAGCGGTGCTCCAGTTCACACCTGGCAGGTACTGTCAGGTTCATATGTTGCGCGTATGTTTGGGACTTGTTTAACGGTATCGACATGGATACCACACCTACCTATCCTGAAATTTTACCTGTTCAACCTCAAGTAAGCCATGAGCTGTGATCATTCAGTTAGCCAAGTGGTTAGCTGTTAAGAATTTTATTAGTTTCAGTCGACACACCAGTTTGGTTGTGAACTGCATAGCGTTTATCGTTACTTTCTAAGGTAACTGAAAATAGTAGCTCAACCCCCATTCATGGCCACCAATCAGGTGTGATTGGCACTGGTCACGTGACTCTAACTGGCTATCGTGATTCCCATTTGCCGGATTTCTTCACACAAACTCTCTTTCCGACCCGGTATTTTTCTCACTATTGAGAGAGCCGCTTGCATGAGAAACCATGAGAAACCGTTTCATGCAAATACCATTTGATATACATCATTGTGTTCAGGGACGATTAATGGTTTCTCAGCGGACCACATTAGACTTCTGGCTTGACTGACCGACCTGTGTTTCGTATCATGTAGTGGTGAGGACAATCATATCTGATAATTCTGCTGCTTCGAGCTAACCCAGTTCAGATAGACAGTGAGCACCGCTTAGACCCACACTCTTCCTGAAAAAAAAAACGGTAGAATTCCAGTGAAACTCGATTTTAGCTTGGTCGGTTGACGGTACCGACTGAGATAGCTCAGTGGTTAGAGCGCGAATTTACTGACCGGAAAGTCCATGCCTTTCAGCTCCTCCTGACTAGGTTTGGGTAACCCGGTAGTATCCCCGCCCTCGTGCTCCCTTAGGTTGCACGGCATTTAGGCAGTGAAAGGGTGCTACAGTTGAACGATTATTATTATTATTATTATTATTATTATTATTATTATTATTATTATTATTAGCTGATTCACCTTTACACTTCTGATCGTACCTGGATTGATCCTGGCCAAATTAAGTGTGCACTTGCTGCATACCTGGTTGAGCTAGGCTATGTAGAAGGTGTGATTTTCCTATCCTAACTAATAATCGGATCGATATCGAGGAGGTGGCTTTTGTAAATCTTGAAGCTGGGTTGAAATACACACTGCAAATGAAAATGCAGAGTCTTCGGACGAAACTCGAACCCGCAACCTCTCGCCTATCGGAGAGCGGTGTGAGGGAGGCTCACTTAGTCTCTACTTTCGGGAGTTCATTTGGCACAGTACTTGCCCACTAGGTGAGAGGTTGGAGGTTTTGGGTTCTATCCAAGGACTGTGCGATTCCGTTTGCACCATGTGTACTTCGGACGATCTCAAAAATGACCAGGTATGTCGGTTATTCACAACTGAGTGGATGGATTTGCATTTACTCGTTTCGACCCGAATCGGTGTCTATCTGTGATATGAATGAGCTGGGTGATATTCCACTGCAGTTGTGTGATGTCGTCAGGGGTAAATACCCATAACCGGCCGTAATCTGCTCTGTACGTTTAGTAGTAGGCTTATAAAAATATTGAATTGATGCTAATAAGTATATCAGTCGCTGTAGTTTGCTTATAATTCAAGTCTTTGTGGATGAAACAACATGGGTACAACAGCTCAAGATGGCGCTCATGTGGGGAATCGAACCCAGACCATTGAAAAGGAGTTTTGCGATGTCACCCAAAACTAACCCCGGACAACGGTGAGGAAACCTTAAAACGATCATCCACCAAACGAGCCTAGTGGGGTAGTCGTCCAGCCTTCTAGTGCCTAGCTGCCATGTCACCCGAAGGAAGCACGAGGACTGGGATACTACCAGCTTGTCCAAGCGTAGACAGGGCAAGTCGAGATGCTGAGGTCGGGTTCGAACCACGGACTTTCCGGTTGGCAAGTTCGCGCTCTAACCATTTAAGCCGTCTCGCCCTACCAAACGAGTGCACGTCATCTGCTGCTCAAACAGGTGCAGTCAAACAATCAGATGTAAATCGGTTGGTTATTTCATGAATGATCGGCCGATCCGATTAAAAGGAAAACAGTCGATATAAAAATTAGGTGCTCCTGTGCACTGTTACGTTGCTACTAACGTAGTAATATTTTTAAATTTCGTGCGAGGTGTTAACGCTCTTTCTGCAAATAAACCAGGATCGACCGATGCTTTGATATTGGCTGGTTTAGCACGGCCGGGTAGTCGAATCGACCATAATAATACTTGTATTAGTGGTGCAGCTCGTTTCCAAGTGGAATTCAGTCCCGGTCGCTGTTGTTTTGGCGCGCTCGATGACACTAACTCAGTGGCGACTATTCTCTTCATCTGGTGGTTTTGTTGCATGCTCCCTATTGCTGGTCCTGGAACTGTTGTTATCCTCATCCGGTTGACTTTCATGTTCTACTCAAATGCTAGTAGTTATGTTTAGATAACCTAGATGAAAGCACTAACCCTTGTGTAGAATAGTTGCATTAACTCTCTTTTGATTGATCGTGCTCTCCAGAACGATCCAGAACGTTTTGAGCAGCAAGAAAGTCCAAACCGAAGGAAATCGCGCTCTCGTGTAAAGAGCTCTTTCTTAAATGGGGATAATCCCACTGTCCTAAAGCGGCGGCAGTTTATTCAGTTAGCGGCCTGTACGTTGTCTAGAGAAAACATAAATCACCATCGTTTTTCCAGAACATTCGCTTGTCGAAAACCCAATCAGTTTGGAGTTTCGACTTGACCAACATCCGGGACACCTTGGTAAGCAAATTACAGCGTCGGATGATTGGATCAGGGAACTATAAATCGCAGTGGGTTACAGGCAATGCTAAACAGACTTTGTAACTTTGAGAGATATAATGGAAATCTGTTTGTATATCGCTTCTAAATTCTCCTGCAAACTGCTAGTATGCACTCACTGACTAGCCCCCTTTTATGTCCGTATGCAGCTGGACTTATACGCGCTGGCTCCATCGGGACTCCTCGGTCTTGCGCAGTTTCCTGCTGAGCCAACTTATCATTGTATGGCAGCTGGCTGAGTTGAATTCATTCTTCCTCAAACACGTGTTCATTGTCAAACCAAGCCATCCGCTTACTCAGCTTCGTCTGTTGTTGATCACCTTGATGTCGGCTCCGGCTATCCGGTAAGTCCGTTAGGCAGGTGTTGCATTCCATAGTGGAACATTTCAAGCGATATGGTCGATTGAGTACTTCTGTACGTTGCGCTACTACTGGACTTTTGTCGACTTTCACTGTCCTTTATTCGCGACTGAGCTTTTTTCGGTAACTGTTAGGCGTAAATCCGCACTCAAACCGTTTTATCACTCGCAGTAAGGCGCTGTTAGGGCCAAGAAAGCCTAACCCACAGGAGATCGGTCAGAATACCGGGCCGATTGCCGATTCATCATCAAGGCGAGTTCTGATGGGCCGCAAGTGTGGATACAACAGCCAATAGTGATTCAGTATCCGCCAAGTGCTGGTTGCCCATGGCGCGTATAGGTAGTGTTGTTGCCTCATATGATGACCTAGTTTTAGGCGTTTACGAAGAGTGCACCTTTGGTGATTATTTTGTCGAAAACGCTAGCTTGGAACGCGATGATGGAGAACTGAGCTGAGACATTACCGTTATTGTACGTAGACATTTATCGATCGTTGCCTGCTGAACAACTCACGATTTGATTACGTTTGCTGATTGGTGGGTTTCCTCAGGCGTATGTATGAATATTCATTTCTAGGTGACTAACAAGGACCACAGAAGTAGATTATTGACGGGTCATTTGCCATGAATTCGACATATTGAAAGGGTTTATCGTAGCAGAGACAGTAGTGGTAGTAAGTGGTCCACGCATGGGGTCCACGGTTCATTAGCTGAAGTCCATTTCGTCTTCTTATGTGTATCCCCTTAACGCTATCGTCTTGTCTGTTGGTTATGCGATTTCCATGATGTTTTCGGTGCTATATAGGAAAAAATCGTTCAGTTGTAACACCCTTCCGGTGCCTAACTGCCATGCCACCCGGGAGAAGCACGAGGGCTAGGGTACTGCCAGGTTGCGTAAGTCTAGACAGGAGAAGTCAAGAGGAAGAGGTCTAGTTCGAGCCACGGACCTTCCGGTCAGTAAATTTGCGCTCTAAGCACTTGAACGATCTCGCCCCGTGCTAAATATACTTGTCTGTTGCTTAGATTCCCAAAGTCCGTGCAGTGTACCTGCGACTTCAGCGTATTAAGTGGACAACTGGCGAGGTGGATTGCTTCGTACGACACAGTAGGGCTGTTGAAGATATGCTACATACCCTATATTTCCTTTTCGTCTCTGCTCTTGCCGGAGTACTTTCATTCACATAAGAATATGACTATTTGATCCTCTAGAGCGAGATTTAATAGAAAACGGCTCCGATTGTGTAATCGGACACTTATCGTTGTTTGTAAGTGAACAATATCATTGCTTTGCTGTTCAGTGGGTGGCCATTTCGGAAATGTGAATCATCATCATCATCGACAGCATGACATCAGCGTTCAACACCGATTCTTCACTGCCGTACAACCATGATTTATTTGAAAGCTTTATTGTGAAGAAAAGAATAAAGGTGGACAGAGAAGGGACTTAGTACTAACNGAGAATACAAAGAACGTATTATGTTTACAAACTTCCGGGGTATTCCTTGGTGGGCAAGCGTCTCAAGAAGAACAGACCGATCAACCGAGTCGAATGTGCCTCGGAAATCCAGGAATACTAAAATTATGGGTCGTTTTTTCGCATGAGGTTTTTCTAGCCCCTGACGCATTGTGAAGTTTTGGTCAACACAACCCCTACCACGCCGGAATTTCGCTTGATGCTCTCAGGTCAGTATCTCACGAGCCACCGTAAGGCGACGAAGCACAATTGACGCCAACAATCTCGTTACAACTGGGGTCAAGCTGACCCCCCTGTGGTTACCACACTCACTACGCGCCCCCTTTTTTGAAAACGGGCATTATCACCGATTCACTCCAGTTGTCTGGGACAGACTCCTTTTCCCAAATGCAAGCAAACAGCTCGGACAAGCGCTGGAAATGTGAATCGACTCAGGTGACCATTTATCGCGTGCTTATAAGGACTCATCAGGACTATGCAGCCTACTTTCAGACAATGGATTTATAATATTTTCACTGTTGAGCGGCTGTCACTTCTGTTGAGTGTGAAACGGGGCCTCCTAGAGTTTCTATATCTTCATGTAGTCACTATTGAGCCACATCACTGGCTTCATTGCTCAATATGAAGTCCACTTTTCAGCTTCGACCATCTGATCTCTGGGACGACAGCGTGGCGGTGAACCTGGTCCCCGGCAAAGTTATCACTGCTGTTTGTGACGTGCATCTTCTCCCTCCAAATAATAATCGTTGGGTTATAGTGACAAGTCATATTATCTAATATACCGGATCTTCGGGGCTATGTTAGCTGGGCTGCAAGACGATCACTTCCTGGCCTCATCGTCGTGACTATGGCTCTTCTGTTTTTCATCGTTCCTGGCAAAATACTGCTACCTTAATATTATGGTCAGGCTGCAGTGCTGTAGTGGTCTCAATGACTACACTAGCTAGAACTCCGTTCCCCAGGTTTCAGCTATGCTCGCAAGACCAAACGAGAGCTGCCAGACAAATACCAGCGAGCACTCGTATTACAAGGTAGTTTGGGGATGAAATCGCAATGTCCTCTGTGATCTGAATACAAGGGCAGCAAGTTCTTTCATTCCGGTGATCAGGCTGACATATTTTTTGAGACACTGATGTTGCATTCTACCCTTGGAAGGACAGGTTTGAAATGATTGGTCTTAAAACCGCATATTTTGACCACTCAGCAACTGGCCATCGACAAACCGTCCAATGCGGTCGGGGAAGGCTCACATCTTATTGATCTGGCTTTGGACACATCCGCTGTGCTCAGCAGGATCCGGAGTTGGGCTTCCTTACCTTACTGCTCGCGTCCTCCAGCTAAACCATCCCCCCTCACTGTCATTTGGAGCAGACTCCTGTGTTGCTGGCTCCGAGGAAATCCCTACTTCCGCCACCTTATGACTGTTTAGCTAAAGGCTTTCACTGGGGTGAGACTTGAATTAAAGCTCAAGGTTGCTTCTCTGGTCCAAATCCCTTCAGTCTGGCCAGCCTGGGCATAAGTTGCCCCCTCGAAACTGGCCAAACGGGTGGTTTTATCTTCTCTTTCGAATGCTTCTCACCGGTATCATAGCCCCTACATGCTGCGCTTTTCCACCCCTAGTTCGGAGCGCAGAAACAGCAGGTATTCTTAGTGTATGCCAAGTTATCTGTTCTACACAGCAGTATTACATGCGTTCACTGTCTGTCAATGAACAGAATTTCCTCACTCTCTCTTCTTTACCTTCCTGGAAAACTGACGTGTGAATTATAACATAAATACGCCTACAAGACCCCCAGCACAGCGATTGATGTTTAAAATGTTGACGCTTTATGGCGAAACGTACTTATTTGTAAATCCTATTAGTGTTAACAAGAGACATCCGAGTTCACTTTTTATGGTGTTCTTCAACTGCATCTGTTTTACTGTTCGGGTATCCGATGATGTCGTGTTGCCCATGACACAGGCTACGTCCTGCGCTCAAAGGCCGAGGACATCCTGTCAGACTGGATTTCCGTAAACAGCAGGCTGTGCTCTGTTTGACCGGTTGAGGTCATCAAAATCCGATAAAAGTGGACGAAGCCGTGTAACCCACGTATGTTCCAAAAAACTGTAGTACGGATTCCGACAGACGGGTTCTATTGCGAGCTTTCGAATCTTCCACGCCAGGCCAAAAGCACACGTGTCATAGTTCGAGCTGTGAATATGAGCACTCCAATGGCACTACAGGGAATGTCACATGGATGGTAAATTTGATGTCTTTGCTCCACGAGCGGACCTTGGTGGTCGATTCTTTCAATTGTTCATAGACTGTGGTCTTTTCATTGCAAACACCTACTTTTAGCAAAACAGGAACACACCTTGTTATCCGTCATCTCCCGAGCCGCTTGCGGATAAGTCACGTTATAATCAGCTATCGATGACGGTCATTTGTTCAGGACTGTCGTTCTTTTTGTAACAATGGTACGAACCATGCTCTTTACTAGCTCGTCCCGACAGTGAAGAGAAAGTCAGCTGGTCAAATCAGAATGCGTGTGCACAAGGACCGTCAATGAAAGAAATTACCAAACTGCTCCAACACAAAAACCGGGTGGAAAATGAACACAACATAGATTTCAGTGGATTTTCAAGTGCTCTGTCTGTTCCATGAAAAAAATCATCAAAGCGACCGTGTGATTCTGCACAAAGGTCCACCAAAAAGCGACTGACTCGGCGCTTCAAAGACAACCGCGACATATGGTCTGTTCCAGAAAAAAATCATCAGAGCGACCGTGTGATTCTGCACAAAGATCCACCAAAAAGCGACTGACTCGGCGCTTCAAAGACAACCGCGACATATGGTGAGTCAGAGGAACCCAAGAAATGGAAAATGGTTTTTCCATTCGAACTGCTGCGTTCTGTATCAGCCCATTGCACAACAACTAAGCCACCGCTACGCGCAACTACGCTCCCAAATAATGCACTGATGATGTCACCTCGATTGATGATGAAACGTTTGCAATCAAATTGCCCAGCTCAGCAAACACACCAACGACCACCATCTACGCTACCTGAGCTACCGACATTTTCCTCTATAGAAAAACTCTCGCAAGTATCATTCAACGAAGACTCAACATCGTCCGAGCAAAAAAAATCTTCAAGAATCAGGCAAGGCTGTCTTTGGCAATTTCTGTTCGACTTCGTAGTCGAAATGATTGTAGACGATTTGCCTACACTGTCTACTCTCTCGGGAGTCGAATCACTTCCTGGTAAAAGCCTCATTGACTAAGGGTGAACAGCTGATACCTAGCTGCTTAATTCGGACCCTATGAAAATGCGAAATGTATCGGACAACCGAGCTCACCCAACCACCGGTGTCAGAATGCACACTATCAAATTTTAAGGTTCCACTTCAACTTTAACCGAACACGCTACTATAAGCTAGGCTTTGTAGCCCAGCCGTTGGGCTGATTACCTAATATACCCAATAGGATCGGGCCTTTTCGGTAATCTGAGTGCAAGGGTCAGAGAGGCCTGTTTGGCCTTTCTTCTCCCTATCAATTTACTGTCAGGATTGGGTTGGAAAAAGGCATCGGTTACCCTTTAGTCTTAAAAAGCAGTTCCAGCACCCCTAATCACGGTCTGAATCACTCCACACCCACAATGGTGTATTCTGCGGTGAAACTGCCAACTAAACACTCGCTTTTATTGGCGACTCAAAAGCGATATAAAGAACAGCATGACCTCCCTGTGGCTTACGGCGTTCGACACTGAGTCATACTTCGTGTGGGTCTGGCTGCCCGGAAGGCCTGTATGCGAGACATTTCTGAAGCCAACTGACCCCGTCTCACGAAATGGTCTCTTTGGAGTCTATCATTCTGGGGAATTGAGTTCTCACCCACGCGGTAGCCGATGTGGCTAAATCATGAAAGCAGTGACGCTCTTGCATTCACTCAATCGTCCTCATTTCATAATATCTCTCTTTTCGTTTTGTCTTCTTTCCAGTTCCATCCTTCTTTTTCGATGAGCAGAAACATTGCTCACATACATGGCTCACGTCTAGAAATTCACCCTCATTACAAAAGGCTGCTTCTTGCTTGCCACGACACAGTATCATCTGTGACTAGATAGGAATCGATCACAGATATACTATCTGTTTTTTTGCTCTCTGTAACTACCATACCGCCAGATACATCACCGACGTCACAGTTAAAGGACCTCCTTACTCTGTTTTGCCTCAGTGGCCTAACTGCACGTCCTTTCAGGCTTAGTTTCATTACTCTAATCAATACCTGACGGGAGCAGCGGCTATTCCCACTTTGCGGACCACATCGTATCTATCCTTCCGTTGAAGCACAACAATCAGTCATGTTTGTCCTGTAGTCAAAACTCCAAAACTCATTCACAATTTTGCGGGATATCCGACCTTTAACATTTCTTTCAACCAACTAAACAGCAGCAACAACAACAACAGCTATGAATCAATAGCCTTCCGATTTGTCGGAAATTTCTCACTCCAGTAGCCCACATTTCCCCTCAGGACACCAGTCAAAGTTTTCCATACAGGGCCCTGATAAATCCGAGTGAGGCAGCTGTTTATTCACAAGCTATTTATTAGTTACCTCTTTCGCAGGATGCCACCATCACTTGTACGCTAAACTATACTAAAGTACCCTTCGGTGATGAGTGGAAATGACGATTCAAACAGCGTTTTGGACACAGGTGGATTCACTCCTATCTGACTGGTCCGATGTTTGAATTGTACCTCTAAAGTTTTGTAGACAAGCTATTTTTGAGTCTCACTCAATATCGACGAATTTGTGGAAGGAACATACGTGGGTCAACTCCTCTGACTTGCAGCTAATGGCAAACAACCATTCGAATGGCATTATTACGTAATCCGCCAACCTACGTCCATGTTTTTTGTCTGGTCACGTTTTTGTCCCGTCCTGTTTGTTTATGTGTATCTTGGCGTCGCTCTAAATTTGTTCCGCTTCATGCCTCTTATTTCAGACAATATTATCTCTACGTTATCGATCCACATGTCAAACGTGTCGGTTCTCAGCTGTGGCTGTTTATGTAAGTCCATTTATGTCGCCCAATTTGGCCTGCTAGCTTATTTTGACCTCCCAGGCATTCTGTTTGTGTAAGACGCTTCGATTGTCCGACCCATGTTGTATGATTAACACGAGTGACTTCGAAGTAATTGGATACATCGATTGAGGATTTTGATGTATCTCGGAAAAATAAGCCCACTCAGTTCATTCATGTTCACCCGTCACAAAGAAACCGTTCAGCTGTGAAACTTTTTCGATGCCTAGCTGCCATGTCACCCAAAGAAGGCACAAGAGCTCAGATACTGCCAGGTTGCCCAAACCCAGACGGGTGCAGTATTAGACAGGAAAGTCAAGATGCAGAGGTCGGGCCGAACAACGGACCTTTTCTAACCACTGGGCCATCTCGTATCACCATCACAACACAACAGAGAGAGAGAGAAATTACTTCTACAGCCAAAAAATCGCCACACATATAGCAATGGAAACCGAAATCTCCGTCCAACATGTCTCCATCGGTTTGTGTGGGGCGTAAGTGGCACGGTTATTTGTACTTATGGTTTTTGCCTTCATAGAGCCACTCTTGGGTCTCCGTCAGTGTGACGCTGTCATGGGGGTAGTGCCTGCCCGTAAGATGGGTCAACCCAATCACTAGTTTGTATTCCATGCGTTTTGTCCTTATATTGGACCCAACCTGAAACAGTTCCAGCGATGCGGGCAATAAAATGGAGTGTACGAAGAAATCTAAGTGAATTCTCGCTTATTGAAGCGGGTACTGTGTGGCTCTTCTCCTCGTCTTAAAACCGTTCTGCTGGTCAATTACTGCCTTCTATGGGGCTGTTTGGTTGATTGTCTTTAGGTGTCATTACGTAGGATGTATTATGTACGAGAGAGTAATATGCGCTCAGAATTGTCCAGTGGTCAACGTATGAGGCTACTGACCGTAAAGCCCGTGGTTCTAACCCAACCCTTGCTCCTTTTGAAGCTGAGACAACCTGGCAGTATATTAGTCCCCCTTTTCCAGATTTTCACGACATCTGTGCACCGAGATGTCAACATAGCTGCGCGATTATTTTTACCATCGTATATATCCATAAATATGCATCAAACTCCCTGGAAAACCAATGTTGCGCTTGAATGTAGTCCATCATTGAAGGGATTATCCCGTAATCATGCATACGGGTGAAGTGCACAGTCCCCGTCAACAGCTTGGTTTTTTTGTGTCAAACGGATTATCAGAATGAACTATTTGTTTCTGCCAATGTAAGAAAGCAGCTATCAGTTCAAGCGTGATGAAACGCGATTGGCCTGCGGTAAGCTTTTAGAAAACAGATTAAACAGCTGCGTTATCATGTGACATGGTAGAGCTTTCGGGGACAGTGCCTCCGCACGATTTTTGGCAGTACAATTACAAGGTGTGCCAATTGGGACACACGCGATCCATGAATACAATTTCTGGAAACACCTGTGGTTTGATGTTTTTAGAGATTCTTTCACACTAACATTGATAATCGTTCGCAGCTTTAAAAAAGTGCAACCGGATGTGTCTCCGACTAGGCTAAACGATTTTGTTCTTCATTTGAATGAAAGGAACACTCGATTTTTAGAAACGTGATGATCTAATGACCTGGGCCAGACGGCTGGCTTACCGGCGGTGCTCAAGAGTTATTTTGTGTGATAGGTAAGGTTGTGCTCACAACGCAGTATCGCGAACGCACACCAGAAGTTGCCAGTACAGTTACGCTTGGCCTTTGAGCATCACGGATCGGGAGGGGAGGCACTTCTCCAATCAATCCCGCAGTAAGGTTCATGGGCGCGAGAGGATGTGACCTAAGGAGGGGAGCGAAGAAGAGATCATTCTGTCTTTGAGCTAATGACTGGTGTGAAATCATGAATTCACACTTGAGAAAAATGAAAGTGTTCTCAGCGACGAAGGACAAAGCTCAGAGCGGTTTATTTAATTTTGTTCCATTAGACTGGCTGTCTTTCAGTTTAGACGAATGTAGCTCGATGCGGTAGATGTGTCTGTCCGCCACGTCAGCGTACGCTCCGATAGACTGAGATTCCGAAGCTGACAAACACGAGTTTCCCCGAGGTTTGTTGCAACTTCCCTAGGCAGCAAACTGGACAGATATTGTCATCCTGTCGGTTGATGGTACCGCTCAGTGCGGGCCCGGAAGAAGGACGGATGTGCTGGTCATTGTCTGTTTTTTTCATCCGAAACGCTCACATAGTTTCAGTCGACGTTATCTCAGTGGTTAAGGCGCGAACTTAGTGAGCGGAAGATCAGGCCTTTCATTTGACAGGCCGCTCGTTCCTCATACGTTACGTTGGTGGGGACAAGTACCACGATGGTTTGCCTCAGAGCTCTTTTTGCCAAGCCCCGTACTCAACCGCGACGGCCCAGAGGCAGACAGTCCAGGACCAGCCACCAGATGGCAACCCTCAAATCAGCTCACAGCTGCCCTGAATCGGGATCCTGAGATTCGATTCATCAGCATTTGATGAGGCTGGTGAATCCAGGACCAGCCACCAGATGGCAACCCACAAATCAAATCACAGCTGCGGCCTCCCTGAATCGGGATTCTGAGATCCGATTCATCAGCATTTGATGAGGCTGGTGAGTAAGTGGCACTCCACTTTCCCCCTACAATACTTAGCCGTCCAATTCGCCGTCCCACTAAACAACTAGTGTTATTCAATATCAATAAACTAAGTGGGTCATCACCTGTGATATTTGACTATTCTTTCCCTGATCTTCCACTTTTTTGTGACCGAAACTGTCAGCGGCAGACAGATTACCCCTTTTATGTAGTTTGTATTTGCTCGACCGAACTTATAATGAACAGATTTTCTAGTTCGTTATTCTCTAAATGTAGGACACAGTGCATTTTATCTTCCTGGATGTCCCGTCATGCACTTTTTTTAAGTCTCTGCATCGGCGACCTAGTGGCTATCCACAAAAGTCGAGGGGTACTGGTCTAGCTGGTACTTGTGCTCCTGTTTAACAGTTTTCCAGGCTGCGGTTCTCACTTGACACACACCTGCACTTCAGAGGAGCTGTCTCCATACAACACTAGACGCACCCCTTCGACAGATATGCTAATTCGACTGCCCTGCGTTCCCATCTGTGGCCATGTGGACTACAACCTGACTTACTGGTGTTGCATCTGCGAACAAGTGCGGGCTGGTATTGGGGCCATAGTGTGAAATTCTCCTGAACCGGTCTATCCTCTTGACTGAGAAAGTCTCATTTAGGGAAATGAAAAAGCGCCTGCGCATATTTAAGCCCCAGAAATTTCCTCATTTCATGGGTCCGATCTCTGTCATAAAATCTATGCACTATGCAACTCTATTTAGTATTTTTTTAGGTTTTCAAACGCTGTTACCCTGTTGTCCCTTTCTTCTTTTTCCATTTTAGTGCAACCGTACTCACCGAAACTCTGGTTTGCTTCAAGCTGGGAAGTGAAACTTTTGAGCATGCTATCTTGTGGAATCTTGTGTACTGGGTTATTTGGATGGTGAGTGACCCAGTGGGTGCCGACCAGTTGCGCATTCTCGAACTCTTGCGCCTGTGTTTTACTTTTTTTGCCGTCCTATGCATGTTCACACATGAAGGAACCAATGAGATTATGTCAATAACAACTTTATTGAACCCTGGAAAATTGCCTATTCATAGAGCTGATCCCTTCAGCGGGAGACGACTACTCTGTATTGGTGGGGGTAGCTGTACATGAATCAGTATCGAGAAACTGTCCACTGATCGTGTGCTCATTCACACAGTTAGTTCGGTTTAAACCCGAAGCTGGCTTCCAGGTTCTTATGACCTCAGCCTCAAACGTGTCCTTCAGATACGCGTGCGTTGTTGGAGCTGGCGATTCTCGCTGACATGTAGTATAATGCTCTTCGGCGCTACTCATGCGGAATTCCGACCCCCAGTTCTTCATCTGAACGGTTTACACGGATTCTGTACTACCTAGGACCATTTAGGCTTCTCGCCCGAAGGCGAACACTTGTCTTATTGTTTTATATCAAATAAAGCGAGTTCATAACCGATTCCGAATTTATTCTCGACTTTGATCTCACACTCCGCAATCGATGAACCGTTCGAAAATGCAGTCCAATTATTTCACAGGTTGATCTGCTTTTGCGAACCACTTTGCAACAAACGATTGCAAACCAAACTCCGCATTCCTTCTAGCACTGATAACTAGATCGCGTTCGTAGATTTTTCCNACTAGATCGCGTTTGTAGATTTTTCCGTTATCCTTTAATTGCATTAAGACTGGTGCGGATATCTCTGTGCTACTAACAAGCAACGGCGTACTTTCCAGATGACATCTGCACCAGTCAGTGGTTTCAAAGATAGAAATAGGTCACCCACTAAACGTTCAATTAATGGAGATCCGTTTTTTTTACTAATTGTCAGCCTTTATGTTCTATGCATACATATCATTTTTGCAGTTTCTGTAAAACATTGAGGTGTGAAAACCGGACACTAGTTCAGATGCACCCAACGCTATCCGAAATTGAGATAAGTAGATCGTCATGCAACAGTCAGCTCATCATCATCATCATCATCATCGTAGTGCCAGCGCTCAACACGGATGTTTCGCTGTCGTATAGAAACGTCCGGCTGGTGATGCCGTGTGACGACCGATGTGGTATCGGATTATTTGTGAATGTGCAACTCATGACTTTGCATGGGATGGGATACTGCTAGGGTGCCCATACCCATAGAGAAGAACTATTGATGCCCTCAACCCAAGCCTTTGGCTCAAAAGTCTGACCTCAAAGCATCGATGTTTAGCGGGAAATGCCTTGTTCCAACCCCAACTTGGAGGGCCGGGAAACTGTTGGTCAGACCTTTGGCCATTGACTAGCCTGGTATGAGAGACTCCGCGTGTGTCACGCGGATACTCCTCAATATAGCTCAATGGGTTACGGAGGCATACAAACGGTAAGGTAAGGAGGCCATGGTAAGGTCCGTTCTCTTCGTGTCAGCAACGGTGGAACTGGAACACAGAAAAAGGCACCACTGACTGCAAGATGCGTGGTATCTTGTAGATTGTTCATATAAAATCAAAGAACCGTTGAAACTAATCCTAGTAACTAGGCACAATTAACAAATGTGAGGGCTCAATATAGCTCAATGGGTTACGGAGGCATACAAACGGTAAGGTAAGGAGGCCATGGTAAGGTCCGTTCTCTTCGTGTCAGCAACGGTGGAACTGGAATACAGAAAAAGGCACCACTGACTGCAAGATGCGTGGTATCTTGTAGATTGTTCATATAAAATCAAAGAACCTAGTAACTAGGCACAATTAACAAATGTGAGGGTGTAGTTGAAAAAGTGTTTGGTTGGAACACAGTTTGGAATATTACAGGAAAGGTTCTTTTTGATACAGCTTATTTTCTCCCATTGCTGTAAAGGCAGCATACCGGCTGGATACTTAATTTCACGACCCATCGTCATACATGTTCCGATAGATGGTTCACTATTTCGTTGGCTTGGTATCCTGTGGTAGGTGCCCGTAATTTTGTCTACAGCAGTGAGTAAGAATCGTAGCGCAGTTACAGCCAGACGGGTACAGTGCCTGAATGACAACATGTGGCTAACTGATGATGTGCATTGTTCGACGATAGGCTTGTGCTGCCTTCCATTCCACACCATTTTATTTGTGCACCAGACCAGTAACCGCTTAAGGTCGGTATCACTCGGATTATGTGCCTGATGTAGCCCCATGTTTTCCATCCTCGCGTGACTTCATCTCTGTTTGGACATTCCTCCGATATCTGGCGAATTTCGTTTGAAGCTGAGGTGGATTGTACTGTAGCTAGTAAGGCAGTCGCCGCCCGTCACCTCTACAATAGAACAAGCATGAATCGGTGCCTCTAACAGGGACTATTTGGTGCACCTCCCGTGGCGATTAACTGAAACGTCCACATACATTCCTAATCAGCCATGAACTTCCGTTGACCTCATTCCCGTTACGTGTAAAGGTATTTCACATTTTTCTCTGAGAAACCTATCAGGAAGCGTGTTTCGTAGTCGCATCTTTTGTTAACCCTCAATCCCCATTGTTTCTCCAGATTCTCAGTTCATTTCTCACTGTTTGGATATGCCGCTATTTGTTCGCACCTGGCTCTGGCACACCACCTACCGTGAGTGCACCAACTATCCCGCAAGCGCGTCCAACCCAACCGACCATCGAAGCTCTCACATCATTCAAATTGGAGGTAGGTGAAATTCGTGTTTCACATGTTGGTATTTAATTTCCAGGGGTTTTTAGACGTAGACACAGGCCTAGTATCCCAGAGGAAACGTAACAGTCGCTGCATATCAGGACCTAGTAAATTTGACCTCAACTGAATTCAGTAGTTTTTTAGTAATACAATAAAATGAAATTTTGTGTAGCTCCCGCATGAAGCAAACATGGCTGTTGTTGGGTTTTATAAGTTCTCCATTGAACAACATGTTGAGCTTCGAAAGAACTTGTTAGGTGTTCCAGAAAATTGTCTATTTATCAAAGCGAACCCGTGAATCAATCACTATGTGATATAAAATGGAACCCCTCAATAAGTGACGTATATCTGGAGAACCGGGACTCTGCGCAAGGTGTCTTCCCTCCTAGGCTTCCAAATTTCAGTAGTTGTAGCCTGTGGGATTGGATAGTGTAGGATAGAAGGGATGGTGATGGCGAACTAATAAAACAAAAAAATACCGGATCATTGATTAGGAGTAAGAGAATGGATAGGACAGCGTCGCTAGCTGCTTGACATTTCTGTGTCAGTGAGTATCGCCAGCTGTTACGGGTCTCTAATACAGCAAACTCACGAACGAGGTGCATTGATGCGGCCAAGACCCATAGCCAGTTTCTTGCTGTTCCGCCCTCTGGTCATACGCAGTCCCCAACTTTACTTTTTCGTGGCAGTGCACAGTCTGTTGGAGGGTCTTTCACGACGTCCTGGGGTAGCGGTCAACATTAAACCAGCTTAGAGTACTTTACCACAGAGATTGATTTTTTTTTAGTTCTGCCGGCAGGCAATATTCAGTTGTTTCTGAGTGATTTCACCTCGGTCTGCCTGGGTCTTGAGAATCAGCTAATTATTTCTTCTAGTTAAGAAAAGAAGTTTCACTGTTGGGATGATTGATGTCAGGCACTAATTGACGAACTGGCCTGATTAGTAACAACCAATTCAAGTGGATTTGGCACTTTCCCCATGAACTGTGCAACTGCATCAGCTTCCGCAACCACTACTGTGGTGTATTGTGCATAGTTCTTCTTGTATTTGGTAGCCACCTTAACCGAGTCGATAAGTACCGGTCCTACTACTGAGTCGGGGGTAGCCAACGGATCATACAGTGCTCACCTATTCAACTCGACAAGCCCTCGCCGGTGTCAGTCACACGGTACTCATTTATAACCGATAGCAGTTGCTTCTAGCGGCTTACCAAAAATAGGGGAACCTAGATGTTTGGAAGCGAGTAGCAAATTGATCATACAATGCTCACCTATTCAGCTCGACAAGCCCTCTTTGGTGTCTGTCACACGGTACTCATTTGTAACCGATAGCAGTCGCTTCTAGCGGCTTAGCAAAAATAGGGGAACCTAGATGTTTGGAATGCTGAAGTCCTGGGGTAGGCGCGAATATGGATGGGAACAGATCAAAACACGCAAACGGGTAGGTGTCACAGCAGATCACGAGTTTTCTTGACGAAACGAATTGCTCATAAGGTTTCCGAAAATTCTCTACTTTCTCCTACGGACTAATCAGGTTGGCGCTCTCCGTGAGTTTCCCTTCAGTTTCCATTATCTTCTCTTTAGACCCAAACTGCACTCATTTGCAAATTAATTTGATTCTAACGAGAGGCCCAACTGAATCCGGGTGAATCGCTCGTGTACGATGTTCTTCAACTGATATTTGAATGTCGTATCAACGTGAAACGGCCCTTGTGCAGCACATCCAGTCAAAAAATAATATCATAAGCGAGGAGTTTAGCTGGATTCGGTTGAGTCGATTGGCCGTGTTGCAGAATACAGGTAGCTCGGGTCTGTTCACTAAGCTCGGTAGTTCGATTGCAGTTTGAGCTCCATCCAACTGTCAAGCTTGTAAAACAGATCAACAACAAATCATTAGAGTTCCCAATCCACACCCGCAGGCATCCTCCAATTGCCAAATAATTAAGGGTTTAAGGAAACACCAAGAGGTGGATAGTTTAAGTCCAGAGAAGAGTTTTGCCACCGGAAACAACCGTCCCCCATATCGATCGACTGGTCAAACGAAGGTAGTTGCCAGCGAAACCATAAACGCAATGCACGGTTCAGTAATCAGCTAACAAAACCCCAACTAGCTTGATTGATCATACATTCTGAAGAGTAGTTTGGCTGCCCCACAGCACGTGGAAACGGTGGATTCAATGAAATAAAAATGTTAGCCCTAATTATCCATGAGAAGAAGCAAAGTGCGAAATCTCTATCGGAGCACCTCAGCAATCATTCCATCCTTCAGACACTGAAATTCAGCATTAAATCAGCGTGGTAGCTGTGACTTTCGTGCCCTGTGGTTTAATCCTTCGAATGTTGACTGGACACACAAAGAGAGTGGGAGAGAGAGAGAGAGAGCGTCGAGAAACAAAGCTGGATTCCGTCCTGCCAGATTATTCACTCTACCAAATTCCGGAACAGTGCCACTGTTTCCAGCCACCAACAGTGGTTGTCCTTGAAAGCTGCCCCCTGACTGTGTGAATTGTCAGCAACTGTGGCAGTTTCTACGGGGCAAAGATGTCCGTGAAATATTATCGGCCATCCCTGTAGCACTGTATACCAGCTTATTTGAATGCAGGAGTTGCCTTGAGTGAACTCTTGCCTGCGTTTACTTTATCCAGTGGTGCTAGTTGGAGCTGCCTTCGTCATCGCTATGATCATGGAAAACTCACACCTAGCCTTGAGTACCTACGTGGCCAAAATGTTCCCAGTGCGTGCACTCAGATACCGAATACGCAGATGACATAGCTCTTCTTGAATCTGACACCATCGTAATACAGATGGTATTAAATGCTCTAAATAATCATGCCTCATGGTTTGGTATGCATCTCACACCTGCGCATCGTGGAATGCCGCCCTAAACTGGGTAAGATCAAACCCGAAAATCATCATGCTTGCTGATGAGCCGGTTGTGGCAGTAGACAAACTTGTTTGCTTGGATAACTGCATCAGTTCCTGTGGCCAAGCCGAAGACGGTATTTCTATTCTAATCAGGAATGTTGGAACAGCTTGTGCCAGCCTACGTCATGTGTGGGACAACCTGACATCAGCCTATCTGTTACGGACCGAGCTGCAATACGCTTCATGTTGTTATATGGTTCAAAAACCTCACTGATGTGAGCTGAGGACCCTGAAAGCCTTTCGGCGTTTGACCATTTGTGTCTCTGGAACGTTGTCAGAGTCTGGTCTAGATGTCTGAACGGTACTACTGAAGTACAATGGACGGTTTTCGGAGGGGATAACACGCACATTGCGTAAGCTGATGGTACTCCACGAACTGCTTCGCTTGTCTGTCGATTAACCTCCTCAGAATGCACGTGAAGGATGGAAACGGGTCAACAAAGGTCAATCAATGACTTGGCAACGAAGTATGAAAGCTGTTACCAGCCCGTTCTGGTCACTGCCTAGATAGGGATCCCGACGCAGACACAGCAGTTACAGAGAATGCTAAACATGACTCTGGTGTCTATGCGCCCAAGCTGTCTTTGATTCCAAGTTGTCCTCCCTCCTTCGATTTCCCCGATGAAAAGTCCTCACCACCACCGGAATCGCTTATTGCCTTCTGGCTATTCTTCACAGAGCATTGTTCCTCCAATTTTCATGGTGTTTTCCAACAAACGATGCTAAACTTTTAAGAATTTTGTGTTATGTGGGGAACTCGACGGGATTACATTGATCGGCAATTAAGGTTTATCTTGTTCATTAGTTTTGCGTGAGTGGATACAGAGCAATCGTTGATTGTTAGCAGAGTGCACTTGGGTCCCCCAAAGCTGTCGCTTCAGTGGTCTACCACAACAGGACATCGTCTGCACCGCAACGCTGCAAGTAGCCTGGTTTTTTGTTTCATCTTGCTCTANGCTGTTACCAGCCCGTTCTGGTCACTGCCTAGATAGGGATCCCGACGCAGACACAGCAGTTACAGAGAATGCTAAACATGACTCTGGTGTCTATGCGCCCAAGCTGTCTTTGATTCCAAGTTGTCCTCCCTCCTTCGATTTCCCCGATGAAAAGTCCTCACCACCACCGGAATCGCTTATTGCCTTCTGGCTATTCTTCACAGAGCATTGTTCCTCCAATTTTCATGGTGTTTTCCAACAAACGATGCTAAACTTTTAAGAATTTTGTTTGTGTTATGTAACTCGACGGGATTACATTGATCGGCAATTAAGGTTTATCTTGTTCATTAGTTTTGCGTGAGTGGATACAGAGCAATCGTTGATTGTTAGCAGAGTGCACTTGGGTCCCCCAAAGCTGTCGCTTCAGTGGTCTACCACAACAGGACATCGTCTGCACCGCAACGCTGCAAGTAGCCTGGTTTTTTGTTTCATCTTGCTCTACGTAACATATCTTAGTGTACATCAGCACAACGTTCGATGTTTCCACGCGGTCAGTCAAACGGTGTGGAAGATAATCCATCGAAATTGTATGGTTTTTATCTACTTATCTACTTCGCCGAGATTTTAGCCCTAACCTGTGCATCACGGGAAGTGACCGAGTGTACTGCTGGTAACGCAGTGGGAGTACTCACTGTAGTTGGTCCATTTTTTGCCCCCTATCGGAGCTACCCAAATGCTTGACGAGTTTTACTTGTATCGATCAGTCAGTTATTCTTTTAAAAACCTTCACGAAAGTATAGCGGTCATCTGATCACCATATGCTGCCAGTTCGGGCTATTTTCCCCCAACACACCTGGAATTTTTGGATCAAATTCCCCTACCGGAACGTCCACAACCTTTCCTTGACAGATAACCAATTTCATTTTAATACACTGCATTCGACTGTCCCAAACAAACTTGTTTGACCTAGTTGACCATACGTTTCTGCGAAATACCTCCTCTCACTCTCACCAAAAAAACGGAATGGATGGGAAATGGCCTAAATCTAGGGCACTTTGAGGACACGCAAGTGAAGTCATTTTATTGATTTAGGTCAGTCAAAAGTTCAATTCCGGCAAGGACACGCTAACTTTGC